GAGTGACCCAACGTACAAGAAAGCATTCACTACTAGAAAAGGCCTTCTTGTCGACCCTTATCGCTTTTCCCTTAGTTTCCTACTTCGTGGCAGTACTAGTCCCTAAAATCCGGCAAATCTCTCTATGTAAGAAAGTAGCCCCTATGAGCTCTATAAAATCTGTAGATTTAGAGCGACGCTAGAAAGTGAGCTTAGGCCTAGACTGCGAAGTTTATATTGCTACTAGAAGTAATCTTAGGTGTCACCGCTCGCTGTAGTGTTTATACTTTATTGTGCCACCGATCTATGTTTAATTCTGACATCCGTCTTTAGGCCAATATAGAGTTAGATCATCCCTGAATTGTCACGTAGAGCTTGATTGTGACAAAGTTCTATCCATTCCCCCTCAGCCCTAGTGACCACATTTTCGTATCCCTTTAAGTACCATACCAGCTCATCTGCTCGCCTGAGCCACTCTGTGTCGGCTACTTGAGACCAATCAACTTTAGTGGATTGACTTCCGGTGTCATTAACCAGGTGGACTGGACGAAGATAATAATTGAGATACATCTCTTGTGAAACCGAATATAGGCCGGAAACCATGGCTTCAGCTGATTCATAACAAGATCGGAAGAAGTTGACCTCCCTCCTTAATGCTGATAGCTGCCGGACGAGATCAATTTCTCTTTGTTCTTGTGAATTTGGTTTGCGCTGCTTGGCTGATTGGAGGACTTCCTTCCTTAGTTCTAGGGCACTTGTCACTCCTCCAACTTCCTCAATGCATCTGTCAAAGAATTGAATAGATGGCACACGATCTGGAACCTGCATTGTCTTCCTTTTGCGTTGCCCTGTGTTATTCGGCTAGTGAGCTCTTCGCACTGGGTAGCACTGTATCGTGAAGGAGGCCGTCACCGCCCATTGACAAGCTAAGTAAACACCACCGAAGCAAAATTGATTTTGTAGAACTGGGTTACTTCCACTGTTCAACGCGTTAAGGTCTATATTATACAATACTTTACAAGACTGGTATCCTTATATCACTACTCTCTTCTATACTTTAGATATCGGTGGAAACCCTAAATAATTGTATTTAGCTATTTTCGGATTAACGATATTTGTCCCTAAGTAAATCATCGTAAGGAACGTAATGCATAGCTTACAATAGTTTCACGTATCAGTAAAATATCTATGAGTCGATCTTTTCACGTGCAGTAGTTCTACGTATATACGTGGGCCTCGGATTGCGACCACCGATATCCATTCCTCCTTAGGCACATGATGGGCACCTAACTTTATCCGCCACGGGCAGGAGCCACCAGAAGTGTGGGGGTCATATATACGTCACAAAGCTCCGACCACTAACTTAGGCTGTCATAACACGCGACTCGCGCAAAGAGAAGTGCGGAGATGGATTTCTATGAACCGGCGAATCGCGGAGGTGCTGCTGCAGCGCTTCCTGGCTGTAGAAGCTTTGGTCGCAGTCATCATGCAAGATATGCTCCCTTTTCGCCAGCCACTTAGGCTATAGACCTTAGCAGCGAAAGCTTTGTGCGTAAGGGGAGGAAGAATGCGCTGAGTGGACAAGTCATCTTTGCCTGGTCGAGGGCCTTATAGTATTGGTTGCCGTCCCAGCTAAATATAGATCAACAATCACCATCGATGGCCGCCTTAGCAATGGAGAACGGGATCGATCTGGCCCGCAACGCAGTTGCAAGCTTATTAAATCCCCTTCTACCTTATCTAGAGACTCTTTTTCGAAAATTGAAGATCTTTCGAGCTTAAGAGGTCGAGGATCCTACACCTTGACCGTTATAGATCCTAATGAGCCTGTTCGAAGCAGTCTGTCCGTGTGACACGTTAGAGATGGACTACTATACTACCGCTGATCCCTACAAGAGATCTTATGTATACTATAAAGCTCACTACGTTTGCTTGTGGCAGGTCACAGATAGCGCGATCGTAGGTCATTCCCAGTGAGATAAGCCCGTTTATCATGCCCGCCTATGTACTCGGAAACCGGAAACGTGTCGAAACTCCTTGCCAGACTTTATAGTAAGTCAAAGTTATAAAGTGAGATAAAAGAGGTCAACTAAACTTTTCAAGGCTGAACCGATCTTTTTCGTGTAATCTCGGAGTCCTCAACACGCCTGGGACTTTGAAGACAATGGATACAATGAGTACGATGATACACACAAACATCGCCGGATATGAACTTAGTGAAATACTGCGGACGAGGCGAACGCCTACGATATTATGATCAAGGTGCTGGGAGGAGATTGAGGACAAGGGGCGGGGCTACTTTCCTTACTGTCCGCCCATCACAACGGTTAATCGACATTTTGGTGAATTAATGACCAGGTACTACCATTGTAATAGCTGTTGCCATTTTGCGGTAGGTTTAATTTTCCTCGTCCGAGGGACGGTCGCCTCAGGCTAGTCTGCCTTATCGCGGCAACGCGATAAGTGCATATTATACTTAGTGATACAGAGACTTGCAAAACCGCCTTCCTCACCTAAACACATTTAAAATGATCGTTGTCCAAGTATGGAACGTCAGCAGATCGGCAATGGCCAGATCCATTTCAGCCCGCCCACCCGTGTACCAATCGTATTGGAGATAAATCTTCACTCACACAATACCTTCATGCCTGACAAGAACTTTGACCGGTCTATCAATATGACGTAAACGCAATTTTCGACCATGTCGAAGCATATCTGCATTACGAGCACGTGATACTCTTTACACGTTTTTCGTGGGGGCCAGTTGCGACTAAATCCTGCCCGTCGACCCTGCGCCGCATTTCAGCCTGCTTCCGCCAACATGCTCGCGCCAAACATGACGCATTGCTAGAGTCTACCTCGTACAGCCGGGGTCCAAAGTCTAAGATTCAACGTTGCACGATATCGCGCTGTTATCTGCCCCTGTATGCTCGAGGAGCCTCGCACCCGAACGTTACGCGATGCGCCTCCTGGAATTCAGCAGCGATGGTGGTCTGCAATTATCCAAAGATTTCATGGACGGCATCCCAATCTACGCGATACTCCTCACATACATGGGGTGCTGATGAAGATAAGGTCACATTCAATGATATTTGCAGTAGCTCGGGCAAAAGGCTGATTGCTACAGCGCCAGCCTCTTCGACTTCGTCGTCAGTATTTGCGCCATTCCTAGGCCTTGATGATTAACTTTGTTCCAGAAGAACTACTCTCGTCTGCAAATTCGAAGAACGAAGCAGGATCTGCAGTTCCGTGAATGCAGTTGACACCATGCAATGTGGAGTGACCAGGCTGAGTTCCGATACAAGGTGTGAATCCTTGAGGGTCCCTTGTCAAGTACTGCGGGTTGTAGTACTGCACAGCAGGATGCAGTAGGGTCGGGGTTTGCAGGTAAAGCTTTTGATCCCCAAACTTCTCGCCAATATCGTCTGCTGTTTTCTTTGGGCCGTAGATGTTGATGCAGTATGCTGGTTGAAAGTCGGTTGGTATGAGGCTGTCCGCATACACAGATATGCGAATGTCGTCGTACGTCGAAAGAAAGTCTAACTGTGACGGGAGTTTGCATCGAATCAGACGAAGTGTCGGGTTTGAAAAGGAGCAGAAACCCCCTTCAAAATTCAGGACCATATCCTCTTCGTCCTAGAACATTCCTGGTGAGTAATCACCAACGAAATTAATATCAATAAGCTATATTACTGTAAGTCAGCGAGTGGTTCATTGATTGTTCATTTTGAGACGTACCGATCCATAGCAAACAATAAGGTTGTTTAAATCCATTGCGAGATGAATCTATCTCAACGTGCGAACTATGCTGAGGGCGTGACAAAAGAGCGAGCTCAATAAGAATAGGCAGCAGTCTTGGCAAAGTTGCCCCATTAATTACGGTTGGCGGTGACACCAAATTAGGTATCCCGCCAATTTGAAAAAAGATTGTCAGACAGCTCTTAAATTCTTTTGATTGATACGGAAAATCTGTCACCTGTATACTTAGTCTCTAACATTATTGGCTGAAGGTTAGGACATAATTAAACCGTATGTAGCTAACTATGGATCTCCAGTCTCCACCGAAACCTAAAGCACAGAAAAGAATAGTTCTTCGAGGAAGGCGGTTTTGCAATTCACTGTCAGAGGAGCTTCGTTGTCTTTGCTGAAGTTCAAAAAGAAGAGAAGAGACTTATGAGGAAACCAGTCTTGTAATTCATCGTAGGAGACATCGCAGAAGAAAATCTGGATAAGAAGAGCTCTAAGCAGTATTGTGGATTACTACCACACTTTTTAGCCTCTCCGTCGCCGAAGTCTATGTGAAATTCAGGAGCTCAAGGACCGTGCACTATCCACAGATTCCTGCATACTATACGTGGTGCTCCGAGAGACCTTTCCTTTTCCACCCGTAACTATTGAATATTTGCCTGTACGTAAGTCGCTGTGGTCCGGAACACGGACAGTATAAACTCAGCAGTGCAATGAACTTCAACAACAACAATAAGAACGGAGTAAAACCTTGGTTGCGAGACGCGGCAGATCGCGTCATTGTGCCGTGACCTGAAGGAGTAACCTCCACCAACTATGCCTGAACATTTTCGTCGACAGAAAGTGCGCTTCCACGAGCAGAACGAAGAGGTCCTCCGTCGCCCGTTTGACGACGAATATTCTGTCATGGCACATTTTTCGGACCATATCGACATGTGCCGACTTTGCATCGTACCTTTTCAAAATGACAGAAATCCTATGTTGTGTCGAGAAGGCTACCTCCTCAGCAAAGACGTCTGCCGTTATGTCGGGCTGAGGAATGGGAGCGTGATCTCCGCCATAAGTTCACGGTCGCCACTTGAGATCGCAGTTCCTCCGAGGTTTGCGATCATACGAAGACTCCTTACTGCTCGTCCACGGGACTTAAAGTCGCAGGGAGTAACCGATGGAGAGATGCCAAAGAGTCCACCTGAATCCAGGCACGCACCTCACCAACGATCAGTGGAATACGTCACGATCTACCTCAATCTTCCCGCTTTAAAGATCCCTCTACATATCCGCCGTGCAGACCTGCAAAATATGTATACAACCTAGAGTCTTCCAGTATGGGGCGCGGATAATACCATGCCTGGCAAGGCCCTAAAATGCAAGAGCAGGAAGTACGGGTCTAGGGAAGAAACGAAAAGCGTGAAAGGCTTGGACGTCTCTATGAGTATAACAAAGCACTCTACTCAGTTGCGTTCGATGGCACTGTGGTGCCTATTATCGAATTAAGTGCCACACTAGCCGCTTGAGCAACCTGCATCATCATCTCGCTGCCATTCTCACTTTCCTGCAGCGCTTTTTGTAAGTCAGTCAGTTTGGATTCAATCCGAGAAATGCTGTGACAGCATTGATCAACTTTTTTTCGCAGCTCCTCAATTTGACGGGTTTGCCTGGGGCGGAAGAGAAAAGTCAGTGGATAAACACGGCCTGTAACCATTCTGTCCTCACCTCTGCTCAAATTCTTCGAGACGTTCATCCGTTGTGCTTCTCGCTCGTTGTGCCACGTTGAGAAATTGTTTCACCAAGTGATGTCCTGTCTTCGAGCCACTGGGCGGTAGAGCCGCAGAAGCATTGTGTTGCTGCGCAGCCGCTCTTCGGGGTTCCTTCGATGTTCTACGACTTGGCTCCCAGGCACCGTTCGGCCACCCATGATTCAGGATGTTCTGAGACCTTCCCTGAGAGAGGTCTGCATGCTCTGGAAAGACCGTGGGAGTGACAGGTGGACTGACCGCTGGCTGTTCCAATCCAAAAAGGTTGGGGTCAAAAAAACTATCCTCCATACCTTCAGGTGCCTCTCGCGTGAAGCTAGACATCTGATGTAGCCTTAAATTTGACGTGACATGACTTGTTGAAGTACCAACACTGTGCAAACACGGGATTAAGTGGTGGCTAGAGCGGCTCCCCTTGCCGCTCGATGCGAACGGCAGGCGGCTAAGTGCTCCGATCACCATTAAACAGACCCTGGTTTTACTGCAAAGTTAGCGACAAACTGTTACCCTATTACTGGACCGTTGAGTAGCGGGATTGCATTCCCGCCTTGAAGGTCTGGAGCTGGGGAGCAAAATGGGACCTCTGAATTCAGTGGTGCTGATTCCAGGACGGCGGATGCATATGGACAGATCCGCAACCACTATATTTCCGGGATAATATGAAACATCCATTGTCACACAATTTGCTACAATACTGACGTACTCCCACAGCAAGGCGTGGTGAAGCTAGAAATGAACCTTCACCAAGATTTTTCACGCCACTGGGCCTCTAACCTTTGCTTGCAGCGCGAGATTTCCAGATTCTTTGGGCCTCCAAAATCTTCGGTTTACTATGAGGAACAATTGAGGACAAATGGCCCGGTTTAGCAAAAAACGCTCCAATGCCAGATTGAAGTCCCGCAGTAGAGACCAGCCAGCGACAAAAGAGGAAAAGGAATCTAAGGCACAATATGAGCAGGCAAGGCGTCGACAATGGTGCGTGGTAAAGAAGACCAATGAACTCCACTCGTTATGTAACAAGAAGGTCTTCCTACTTGTGGTTGATGACCGTCGTGCCGATTTCCTCAGTTCCGAAGATATCTCCAAGGATTGGCCATATTCCTGGCAAAGACTGGTGAATGAATCCCTCCCGAGCACAGTACGACCTTATTGACACCTTGCAGATGTCTGACCCTACTGTTCGACGCATCACGTACAAAACTAAACCGCAAACGCAACATTCGGACAAGCCCTACCCATTGGTTACCCCCAATCAATCCGAAGATTCTGAAGATTCGTTGCAACCTATACAGAGCTTCCTTCGCGTTCACGAATTGGGCCGACTCTTGGAGCAGTTCCATCATCTTGGGCGCCATCGCGCTGCTTTTCTGAAAGGACTGAGAGTAGCACTATTTGGCGACTCAGGACGCCTCCCGGTGCAAGAGCAAGTATGAAATCTAGTCTATCATACCTCAATGCAAAAGAATCCACGTGACAGATTTGGTTTCACTATCTTAATAGCCTATCTACGATTATAGTGATAGAACGCATATGCCCGTCACCAAGGTAACCCAAACAAAACTGACACCTCTGCTGGTAGCGGCCGAATCATATACCGCGGGAGATTGCAATATTGGCGCGGTCCAGCGAAAAGTGCCGTTCGACCAGTTCGTCCCACCAGTGCCAGTTCCTATGCCCGTAGCCATCACCGTGTTTATGTTCATACCTGTTCCAGAGAGGGTGCCAGCGCCAGTGCCACTGCCAGTAAATCCGTTACCACTTCCTCCCGAGCATGGGACCCCTCCAGTTGTTGAGATCGACGGGCGTGCACTTGCCGGGGGTGGAAACGGCACTACGGATCTGGGGGTGTTTGTAGTCTCTGAAGATGTCGCAGCTTTGCTAGCTGTCGTCGCAGCCGTCGTGGCGGTCCCGGTAGTGCTGGTGGCAGTGAGCGTAACCTTCGGAGTAGAGAGCTGGCTGTCAGGGGCCCCACTCAAAGTATTGGGTAGAGCCGATGAACGCTCCGACTGCGTTACTGAGGTGACCGCTATGCTATTTTGTCCCCACATTAGCCAAAAGCTTCCCAGTGAAATGAAACCTGATGGCGGTATCGACTGAGTCCAACTAACACTATGTTAGTCAATCTACAGGGAGTAGGGTCCAGGACTCACACAGAAGGCAGCAGTAGAAACCACCATCTAATTAATGTGAACGCTTGCATCTTCGATTCTGCCCCGCGGGACGAATTGCTCCCAGTGAATGACCAAAGACCGTTCATTTTAACTACGCTCAGGAAAGGTTCCTCGCCATAGTATGGTTCATAATGTTCGCACTTAAAGACTTTTTGGCCACTGATATTTTGAGACCGCCTTTTCCTGAGGTATGGCTGACCAAATTTCTAGGAATATCCTATAAAATAGGCAAGGGCACGATTACCGGTCTTCAAAGTTCCTACATTCAAATTCTTTTTGGCGAATATGTCTGACATTGGGAACGATCCCAAAGGACACGCCGACGGAAAGGCTGGAGAGACCAGTGCAAGTACGCAGGGTGAGTCACAAGCTGCGCAAGATGCGAGAAGTAGGGCGAAAAGGATCGAGACTCAGAGGGGAAAACATCAAGAAAGAAAAAATGAAATGAAAAAATGGAAGGTCGACAAAAAGGATCAGCATGACAGGAAGAAAAAGCAACAAGAGTCCCTTCAACGACAGCTCGAACAACTACGGAAACAAGAGGAATCTGAGAATCGTCAGACCGAGGAGCAAAAAATAACTAAGGACATTGATATGATCGATGCCGATCTCAAGGCGATGGAGAACGACTCGGAAAACTTTATGGACTTTACATCCGATGACTCGAATATCCCGAGGCCGTCAATCGAGGCATCGACCGAAGATGACGATCAGGACAGCGATCCGGCTGCAATTCCCTTCCAAGCCGGTAGCGACACTTCAGAACTCTTTCCAGGAGCTCCCTGCGTGACGGTCGCCAAAAAGTGCATAAGAGGAAACAGAGACGATGCACCGACGTACCTAAATCGCTACGGGCCTCGCAGATGTGGCTGGTTCGTGTTTAGCACGACCTTGTTACTTCCTGATGGCGTCAAAGAAGGAGACTTGGTCAATGTCTCCGAGAAGAAGGATCGCATCTTGGATTATCCTCGACGACAGGGGGAATCCAAGCCTAGACTCGGTGATGTGCAAGGATTCTTGAACATAGTCTGGGATTACGGGAAGCTTGAAGGTAATCCGTTAGAGGCGGCAGAACTCTTGAATCCCCGAAAGGTTAAGCAGACCGATAAGTACCCAACCGAGAAAGAACGCCGACACCAAAAGCTAGAAAAATATCCTCAAGTGAACATACAGCTTCAGTTCAAGAATAATTGGAAGACCGACTTCGTCGAAAAAGCAACTACGTGGGAAACAGGTTCACAATTTCGACAACTATACCGAAGGGACCAGATCAAGGCGGAAGACGAGGTGTACCGCATGGCACTCAATCAGGCAGAACGTTTTCTTCGTTGGTATCAGTCAATCAAGCCGGATGAATTCGACGAGAAAGGGATCTACAAGAGGTCTCCGAGTCGAGAACCAACCACGGTGCCGTTAACGACATCCGTGTCCCCAACTCCGCCTCCGGAAACCACCCAGGTACCGAAGCCTGGTCAGACACAGCTTCCTACGCCACCGCCGGACGAAAAGACCCCTACGCCACCACCGGATGGAAAGGCAGGAAACAAGCCTCAGACAGATCAGGATTCTACAAAAGGGAAGAAGAAAATGACTCGAGAGAGGTTCAAGAAGATTATACTAAAAGCATATAAAGATGCTGAAAATATAACAGGAGAAATGACTGAAGACCAGAATGATGAATGGGAAGTCTACTTTGATGCTTATGCCAGTAGAAAGGGGTACTCGTAAAAATAGCCACGCATCTAGAGCAGCGAACTCGGGAGAAGTAGGAAATCCACTCATTTAGCGACATAGATATATTGAGTTCACTCGAACAATTAGAATTGTCCGCAGGCGGACATTACCTAAACCATTCAAGTAGAACAACCTGATTCAAGTTTACCCTTTGAGAGGTAGTCTGCGTACCGTAGAGCCCATCGAGGTGGAGAATTTAGTTACGAATGCTCGTCGATCCTAACAAGTATTGAAGGCACTACAAATAGCCGTGGACAAGCTGTCAGAGAAACACGATTATCGCGGCAAACGCGATGAAAACCCTCTTCGTACAATACTGTAGAAAAGACTCAAAGCTTGCATCCCACTCCAAATTAGAACGCAGGCTATAGATACTGCATTGTGCCACAGGATGATGTGCACAGGGAAACTCAGGGTCCTAGGGTCCTAGGGATACTGCACACTGCAATACCTCAGAGTTCCATGGTGCTCCGGCTTATGGCTAGTCAGTTACGCACTGCGATGCCCTGTTGAAAATTGTTTGTCAAGAGTAATTCGTCCATTTGATTGGGATGATTGGGATGATTGGGATAAGCTGTGGAGGCATCAAATGAGGGTGCTAGTGGGCTGGTCATTCGGCTCTCGATTGGCCCGCTTCAATCCTAATCATCGTTTCGGCCGTTCCCTGGAGAATCGTCAATCAGACGAAGTTTGAGGCGCTCCTGGGGCACTTGAGAGAATTTATCGAAGATCTAGAGGCCTTCACAAAATAGCTTCAGATATCGGGACGACAACGTCGTTGCCTCGACGCCGGCATTGAGTCGATCTCAGATATATACGCTCTAGAGCGAATGGAAAACGCCCGCATTGGCCCCGATGACCCGGTCTCGGAATCTGCGAGCATCAGGCTGTCAAACCTCCGCCGAAGTGGCGCCTCAAGAAGGTCCCTTTCAGTCGATTCTGTCCGCAATATGCTCCCGTCTCAGAGCTATAACCCTTTTGCGCACCGAGCGTTCGATGATCTCAGTATCAACGAGAGCTTTGCCACTACTGAAACACACCGAATAGAAGCTGAGTCCATCCTAGACCAAGCGGCGGATGCCTCAAGCACACACGGGAGCTTTAACACTGCACTAACGCAACAATCCACAGAGAGGCTGGGCCTTGATAGAAATGAGCACGAATCTAACAGCTCATGGGTTGGGGGTTCTCCGCAAACCCGACATTTGGTTGCACAACAGTTAATCAGTGGAAACAAGACGTTACTGTATCAGGATCGAATATCGAAGTGGTCGTTGAACTTGAACCTCGTGCGGTACAAAAAGCAAACCCAGGTCAGAAACCAAAGGTCACTTAGCCGAGTCTGACGAGATACAATCAATTGGGGTCCACCGAAGATAGTGGTCTTCCATCTTCACGTGATGTGTACAGAAGTTCTACAGTATTTCCCGAAACCGCCCTCCCCACATAGTAACTTCTTTGCCAGAAAGCTTACAATACTGTAAATCACAAATTCCTTCGTGCACATTACCAGAACGACCGGAGCGGAGAAATATTAATCCGATAACTCGGCGCTCCAAGCGCCAAGGCTTAGCCCATAGGGTGTCCCATCAAAAAGCAAGTTCGACCGTTTCCGCAATCCATTATCACCGAAAGATGTGGGAATCCCCGTCCCTGCCATATTACTGCCCGACATCGTTGCTACCAGTTCCTTTACCTACTACTTCCGATATCAAGAACGCAACATGTATGCTAGAGGATGCAGCCTCCAGAGTTGTTCGGGTCGGAGACTACTTTGTCGCTAAATATGGGCCACAAACAAGCCGCCGGATACAAGAGGGACAGAATATGATCTTTGTTCAACAAAACCTCACGACTCCCATCCCGTTGATATACGCTCTCTATGTCGAAGATGGCATCGCATACTTGCTGATGGAGTACGTTGCTGGACAGTCGCTTGAATCTCTTTGGCCAAACCTTGAGCCACAAGAGCAGTCAATAATTTTGAACAAGCTCAGGAAGATTTTGGACGAAATGAGATCTCTACCGCCACCATCACCTCCCTTCTACGGGAGTGTTTGCCATGGGCCGCTCCCGTACTTTCTCTTCTGGACTCCAGAAACGCAACCGACAATCAATGGTCCTTTCAATAACGAGGAAGAGCTCTGCTTGGGCTTAGTAGAAAGAATCCGCCAGATTTATGCCGACAACACTCAACACATGGCTCGCGTCAACTGGTTCCAGAAACATCTTCCTACCTCGCTTATAGGCCACCCACCAACTCTCACACATGGCGATCTCCAAAAGAAGAATATTATCGTCACTCGAACACATCTCCAAAATGAAGACGACGACGTCGAGCTGACAATACTTGATTGGGAGAACGCAGGGTGGTATCCCGACTACTTTGAATACTTTTCATGCTACACAAGCTTCCACTGGGATAGCGACTGGCCCCTGATGGTAGAAGTCTTCCTCGACCCTTATCCTGTGGAGACACTTTCGTTGATGCCTGTATACCATGACATCTTCATGTAGTCATACCAGGGAGGCATGAACATCTTGATCTTATCAGTCCACTCTCACAGGTGCCATAGACTAATCTACTCAAGAATCTGCGCTGCTTGCAAAGCTGGTATTGCACGTTCCTCAGTCCACTCAGTGCATTTGACCAGTCGAACACGTGTCTCTCCGGGCTGGTAGAAGGCGCCGTTTGGTTTGATTGGCTCTGTCTTCATAGTCTTTGGGTTGAATTTCTTCTGTTTGTGTGGAGTAGGTTGTTGGGCGCAAATTGTTTCAAAAGTATGGTACTTGCTTGCCTTGACTTTGCCCAGAAGGTGTTTTTGGTAGAAGCTTTGAGACAATTCGGGCTGGAGACCTGACTTTCGTTGATACGTCCTGCCCGTTACCAAGTCACCAACAACATGGTGAATAAATCCACTTTTGTCATCCTTCGTCTCAACAAAGATCTAAGGGGCTAATCAGTCCAGAGCCGTCCAAATCTTACTTAATACTGACCACAGTGTGATATCTTGGCTGCGGCATGTCTGGATCTTGCACAGCTAAGCGATACTGAACTTTGTAGACCTAGAAATATTTTTCTTGAGGCATTTTATCGTTGTAGAAAGGGAGGTGGCTGTTAGTGACGAAAACGTTAGCCACCCTCCAGGAGGGCCTGATGTCTTTCCCTTCTTTATAACCTCAGAACCGGAGCGCGCTCTATCATGACCACCAAGCCCGCCACGGACACGTGACAGATGTCTCTAGTCTCATTCGTGCTTACTCCCCAGAGCCTTATGCAAAGCGCCATTTTGAGGAGTGCTAATGTAGAACGCCAGGCTCGGCGGCAGCGGCACCAGCGCGGCTTTGGAATCACATCTTATAATTTCAGCGAATAACAGACCTGTGGGTAGCGCCGACTAGCAAGCCAACCGCACCATGTCTCAGCAGGAAAAGTCGACCAGCAACAATTGGACAATGAAGTCGATGGTGTCAATTCATAAAGGAAAACAGGCGGGGTTGCGGCTTCGGTTAATGTTGGGTCTGCGGGCGGGCATCTCGAGACTCCAATGATCACGTGATCCGGCATAAAGGCTGTCCCACAAATTCCTTAGCCTTCGGCGAAAGAAATTACACTGTATTCTCAGAGGGGAGGGTGGTTTTGGAAAAGACTGTAACAAATGACGGTACAGCGTAGCCTGTAGCGAAACGCGTCTGAATATTTTCAGTACAGACAAGGTACCACAGATTGGTTCTGATTAGTAACCTAACTATCGGCAATCATTGGTGGGTTTAGGTAAATTTCTAACTGGAAATAGATAGTTTACCACACTTGAGTAGGGCTATTTACAGCAATATCTTTTCGAGGGTAGAAACCGTAGTTGCAAGACTCTGTACCGAAAGCACTAACGATGTCCAATAGATTGTTATTGTACCCTGCTTCGTCCTCGCCCGCGTGATCCCCCCTCTTCGAGATGTATACGCACTTTGGCCCTAGAAACTCCTCACAGGTAGTGGGGGTGATCTCTTATCCGTTTGATGAAGAGCGAACCTTGCTTTTGTACAGTGTATATAAGCCTTTTAAAAGGATAATTTTTAGAGTGAATATTTGGGTGTAATCTGGCTCTGACTACGGTTTACGGTTGAGAAAATTTCGCCGTGGGCTGGTATGATCTAAAGCCGTGGGCTGCGAAGTGCAATAAGTAACACTGCTCCACAAGATGCTACGGTCAGCTAATAATTTGATGAAGTCAGCTTCTGAATTGATGGTTCGCGAATGATCAAGCAAGAAAGTCCCACCGAGTTGCGTGGGAAGAGTCATCTCAATCAACAAACGCAGATACCGTTACCCACTTCTTTTCGAGCTTTAAAGGGTCGCTGGAAGTGGTGGTTTGTGATTGCGAACATTTTTCAACGGAATCCACGACTTTCATGCTGGTATAAGTATCTGTTGTTCATCATCCCCTCATCATAGTTTTACTACATCTGGTAAACGCCTCGCAGAGATGGCAAGAACCTATAAGCGCTCTACAAATGAGAAATGGAGAATACGAACAATTGGGAAAGAGTGGCTTACACGCAAAAAGAGTAGGCCTCTAACTAAGCCTGTCGCCAAGCCTAGTAGTCTTCTACATTTGCCCAAAGAGCTTCTACATTTTCCCAAAGAGCTTCTACATTTTCCCAACGAGCTTCTACATTTTCCCAAAGAGCTTCTACATTTTCCCAACGAGCTTCTGGAGAAAGTTCTAAGTCATGTAAGTATAGCACTATATTGGTCGCTTAATGCTTATTTACTATTAGCTATCATCGCCTCAGATTAGATCGGTACTGGGAACGTGCCGCCGACTGCTGGGCCTTGGATCAGCAGAAGTTCTGCGCAGCATCACTCTTCAGCTTTTGCTTAACTCAGGTTTAGGGCCAGAACCTTCCTACGAACAGCGAAGAGACTTCCTGAAGAATGTTGACAGAACCGAGAAGCTACTAGCACTCTTAGCCAAACCTGAGAGGGCAGCATATGTGAAGGAGCTCCATATTGTCCCTCTAGATTCTGGGTTCCTATACATTGACACAGTTCAAACTCATGACTCTGTTGACGAAGCTCGATTCAATATTATGGTCTCAAACCTGAGATCGATGCGAAACTTACGTCGTCTAAGGTGGAAAGATACTTTCCAAGCAAGAGCTTCAACGCTAACAGACAAGACAGGTACGATATATCAAGTCGATCCCTACCACCCGACTTGATACGAAACTTCGAATACCTCAGTGAGCTTCAAACGACTGCTATTGATTTTCAACGGTTAGAGTGTCCTCAGCTACAGCTACTTACGATCGTCCGCCGGAGCCTTTGGGATCAACCTCTCTTCCAACCTAAAAACGAAATTAATAAACTCAGGGAGCAAATTACGGTCCGAAATTTCCCAAATCTCAAGGGCCTACAAATAATCGCTGATCTTGACCCCGATCGTGCGGATGCTACCAATGTCCTCCTGGATTTTGGTACTCTGCTCCAACTCTCATCGATCTGCATCCGGCATATCGGTTTTGGAAAACCTCAATTTAAGTTTACTGGTCGTCCTTCGGGCACATTGAAGACTGCAAGTTTCAGCCGAATCCCTCAGTCGGTAGAACTGATCAGCATTATGACTGGGCTTCGTCACCTAATTCTGGACGACATGGATTTACGGACGCAATCTCTGACCTTAACTAAGCTTGAAGTACTTGAAGTAGGGCTTCTAAGCAACGCTAGTCACTTCTTCGAAGCCTCGCGCTTTCCTCGTCTTACACAATATCTGGAAGTCGTACAAAGGGGCAGGTTAGCTGATCGCTCTTCTAATCCTTTAGCTCATATATCACATTGGAATCTTGAAGTTCTTGTGTTGCGACTTGAGCAAAGGAAGACACTTTGGGATTTTGATACAATTATCAGGTTTGACGGGATATTAGAAGAGCTTAAAAATGCTCATGAGCGAGGATTCTTGCGAAAGGTTCTGTTATTGGGGGACTTTTCGAGCGTGGCTCAACGTAGAGGTTGGCTGACAGTACACCCCGGCATGGATACATCGGCGATGGACAAAGAATGGCTCCAACTCTTGCAGTGCGTCGACGTAGAAAAGCGCTTCGCGGAGACAAGTTATCCGAGATGGACCAAAAGTTTGCTAAGCCGTCAGTCGTACATGGAGGCTCTCAGAGTACTTTGAATCAATTTAGGTATTCATCTGTCGATAATGAAGCAATACGCTTGGCGCGTCAAGGCCGCCGGATACTAGAACATTGATATATTAAACCCGCCGCGGTCAGTAGGCTTTATTTATTCCCACAAGATAAGAGGACTCACCGACCCACTATTATATCCATTATTTTCCAGTTAGTTTATCCTACCACCACATTGAACAGAGCATCACTAATACTCTTGAAGCCAAGTGTTAGTATAGGGGCATTAAGCTGCGGCTTGTAGTGTTCCTCATCACTGCATTTCAGGCCCCATTCTTCTTGAAGACTTCTCTTGCTTAATTTCTCACCTATTACTTGTAATGTTCTCTCAATATTGACCTTGTTTTTCCAAGTCTCGAGTCTCCGGTCATACGATGCTGGATCGTCAAGACCGCATGCGGGGCCCCATGCCTCAAGACGTGCCGACATGGCTTGATGCTGACGGTCCCAGCAAAGGTCCAGATGATGGTCAAGCCAATCAATAATCGGAAGCGATTCTTCATTTGAGAAGCCGACCTTTTTGGAATTCATGCTGATGGGGGCTTCGGGATCGCATATGCCGTATCGGCCAAAGGTTGCATAAGGGACCTAGGAGTACCAGGAACAGGGGCCCTCAAGGCAAGACAATTGACGGACTTCCGAGTTTCGTGGTTGACGGCGCTCAGCATTAGCTCCAATCTCAGGCAATCTTGCTAGGAAGACCGTTGAGGACGATCGTTTCACAAAACTACTTGCAGAAGTGGTGGAAGAGAGGAAGGTTTCCAAATGCGAATGCTAATCGCGATGGGAGAAGGAAGGGTATGTCGCCTTACTGTCCGCGGGTGCAGACGAAGCCGCGGCATGCAAAGCTTCCTGGATTGTGGTTTTCTAGGGTAGTAACGGAGCAAACAAGATAGAGCGTTATTTGGCATCCTTACGGATATCAAATACTGTCAAGAACGGTCGTCACACGGCTGTTAAACTTTTATTCGATCTGAAAGACAATAAACTACGACTATAGGAATAGTAGAGCTCAACGAAGACTAAAAGAAACTCGGTTTAATTGATCCTTCTATAGAGCCCCATTATAAAATCCCACGTCAAGGAGGTGAAGTTGAGGCTTGCAAGGACATTGGTATACCCGTTCAATAACGACCGAGCAAAGCTAGGCTGCTTACACTCGCAAAATGTCTTGTCTCATTCTCCTTGCATCATACTCCCGAGGGGTGTAGCCGTGCAATCATTTCGATATGGCCCATAGAACTTAACCTTTTGCATGTCGTACTTATTGTCAAACCAGCTTGCAACCTCACTAGGCATATTGCCGGCCGTTGGTGTAGCTGAAATAATATCGAGGATATCTTGATGAGGCTTGTAATCATCATAGATATCCGGATCATAAGTGCCAGTCCAATTGAAATTGTTAAGGTTGAAAATATCAACCGCGTTACTATACGTCGGAGGTGCTTCACTAGCTCCTGTACCGCCGATCACCATCATTTGATCCGGATATGGAGCCACGCAAATATGATTTTGTCTTGGAGATCCTGACCGTCCTGGACTGTTAGCCTTGACCCACGTAAATGAAGGGACCGTTAAGATCCAAACGGTATCCAATGCTTGACCTTCATTGCTATCCCAGCCTCCATACACGAATATCTCATGGTGAGAGCCATTCGGACCTGATGCCACGACAGTACAGAACTGTGCAAGAGGTGTATCTGGGATAGCGGAACCCTCATTAAGCATTTGTAGGCTCCAAGTACCAGTACCTATATCGTAGACGGGAAACTCTTTCAAGAAAGTTATTGACTCGGTGCTGTTGTCTTGAGCGATTTCAAAATTCATGTCCG